ATACACAGCCTCGTATCCTGCCGTAATCCTTCGTTTCTTCACTGGTGCTGGTGGATAAACGCGTCCGTGTAGTCGCGTTCGAGAGTACATGCACGTAGGGAATAGAGTGTATATAGGAGTACGGTGGACGTCGATGTATCGCCGTAAGGATGGCAGGGCATAGCAATCAGCCGCAGAGATGCATTCGAGCACTACTGTGTAATTTCTAGAACAAAAAGCTTGCCGTAATTGTGTTCATTATCTTCGGGGCCCCCAGAAACAAAGAGGACGCCACAGGGGGAACAGCAATGGCGCCGCGAGAGGGATAGAACGTTGGATATCGCGAATCGGCCGCGAAACTTCCGCTCTACACGCGCAGCGTATGTGCTCTTCCTATCCTTCCGATTCCTACATGCGATTCCTACTGTTTCGATAAACATCCGTTTCTTTGACACGGCAAATAGTAAAGAACTTTGCCCGACCTAGATGACTAAAATTAAGGTCTGGAGGGTTTTCTTCGAATTCGCATTATCCTCGAATACCATGTAACTATCTAAACAATATCACAGAAGAATTCGGAAAATAACCCCGGGACCATGTGTTACAATACGATTAGCCAGTTCGCAATCAGTTTGCCATTAACTCGAACTGTGTTTGAATATCCCTGTGAACCAGCGATAAAATGTTTCTTTCTCTCGTTTACGATGCCGAGCAGGGCACAAAATTGCTATTCTTGGTGCTACATGTCTGGAAGCGTCCACCTCGGACGATATCATTTCGGTGGAGCCACGGGGCACCGCGAGAATTCGGTATAAATTGCTTCGGGGGAGCGAGTTCCGTTTAAAAACGAATCACCCGGGTATTATCCTAAGTGAGTTTTAATGACTCAAATCAGAGCGTGGCACCGCGGCCGTGTCCGCGGAGAACACGCGAAACTTCGTCGGAAATTCGGTTAATCGTACGGTTGTCCAGGGTCGTTCACGGCTCTCCGGGCCGCCTTAACGAGAACGAAGAGCGCAAGAGAACAGGGCGACGCTTGTCGCACACGCGAGAGTGCGTACACGCGTAATTGCACGCTGCCGCTCGCGTGTAATTGAAGTTTCTGGAAAGGAGGGAGGATACATTGTGCCGGAACGCGACACGTCCAACCCGTCACGCCGTAAACGTTACACACGCGCGCGTGTGTACCTAATTGCATGTTAGCAGCGCAGCTCGAGATTACAAGATCAACTAGCTGCGCTGGACGAATGCCTGGAATCGAGGAATTACGCTTAATGGGGAGCAAGCGTTAAATATTATTCAAACTAACTGCGTCGTGTTGGTTCGAACTGAGTGTCGTTTCGATCGTTCGACGAACTAATTTTGGTATTTGGTTTCCGTGAAACAGGCTTTCACGGAGGTAATGTTTCGAGAACTAAGACTAATAGCTAGACATACCACTTCGATAGAGGAGTTTCACCGCTTCTATCGATCAATTTGCTTCTTCCAGAAATATCTATTCCCAAATGCTTTGAAACCCTCTTAACGTCTGTCGGTTATCGCGAATATTACTCAAAAAATTTGCACACTTGTCTCGGATCCCTCTCTATTGCGTACTTCCATAAATTTTACCATACAACCATACGCTCACAAATACGCACACTAATCAAATGTCAATGCAATGCAATGCAAAACACGCGATAGTCGCGTCTACGTGCGCGTCGATGGTGAACGAAGGGAGTAAAGAATAAAGAACGAAGGAAGAAGAGACCAGCGAATGTAAAAGAACGGTAGAGAGAAACATAGAGAATCGAGGAGGAACAGGAGGACGAGGCAAAGAGAAGAGGGATCTCGAGGTGGTGTAATCTACGTAGCGAGTAGGTAGGATGGGCAGTGGATACACCGGCTACGTATAAGTATAATGACTGGCACTTCTATGCATTATCATACCGCTGGGGCTGGCTCCGGTGGTGGCTGGCCGGTCCGTGCGGTGCCTGGGATCAGCCGTGGTCGGGGAGATGAATAATTTCAGGACGGGCACGCAATTACGTGCGCGTACGTCTCGCGTACCAAGTAGCCAGTCGACGGGCCACGCACGCATACGCGCACACGTGGCAAGGAGCCACGGACACCGTAGAGCGGCAAACGCGTAACCCATCCCCTCGGACCGCTCCACAATCTTGGTATCATTTATATTTCACTGCGGGCAATTATTTCGGGCCCTGGCCGTGCCCATCGGGTGTCCGATAAGTTCGAACCCGAGACCACCGCTCGCGGTGCTACCACGGGTCTCCCCATTCTAGATTTTTCATTCTCTTACAGGAGAATTCTCATCTCGCGTCTTGACTAGTCGTTGCTGAAACGCTTGGATATTGCGAATTAAGAATTAAACGTTCCAAGTGAAGCTTGAATAGATATTCGATGAATATTCGCAGAGGATGTGATTATTCTTGGTTCGAACTCGTGAATATTTTTGTTAATTGTTGGAAATACACCGGTTTGTCTGGAAGGTTCAATGATTTGGTTGAATTAGTGATTGTTTGAGCTTCTATATGGAGTGTTAAAGGGAATATGACGGAAAGTAGGTAAGTTAAGAAGTTTTTTCGTAAGTTGGTGTTAAAGGACTGGAATGGGGAGAAGTTGTAAGAAGTTGAAAATCAGTCTAAAAAAGCTCTCTACTGCGGGGACGTATATAATTTGGTTTAAACAATAGTAGTCGTTAACCGTTGAAGTAAATATCTTAAAAACTAAATTCTTTTTGCGAACAAATAAAAAGTATTTTATCTAAGAAAGCGCAAGAGTATTGCTTAATAATCAAACGTCGTAAATCAACAGTTATTACCAACGCTTTATCAACAAAATTCGATACTAAACACACGGGTGCCGAAATCTTATTGCTGGAACGAGGGATCGACGCTGGCGAAACTAATTGAAACGAGCAACCGATGAGGAGTAAGATCGGGACTCGCTGCGATCCCGGCTGCGTTCGCAAACATATTGCATAATCGGTAATAACCCCGGCCCGGTCGGCCGGTTCGCCTTAGCGTATCGGGACATTAATTATCATGCCGTGACGTTTCGCTCGATCTTCTAATAACGGGCGTCCAGAGGCGGACACGCTTATAAACTCGACCAATTCACCGCGTGCACGCTTATTCCCATAGCCTAATTTCACACGTGTGAACCTCCACCACCGACCTATATATATATACGTATACACACATGTATACATTTATCCACGTATCAGAGACCTGGTACAAATATCTATTTCTATCTCTCTGTGGAAGCTGGCGCGTCTATAATTTACACGCGTGTGTCCCCGCTCACGGGCAATAGTTAAAGCCTGTTAATTTCCGGCAGTGAAGTTATATCCGGTGCCAAAGTCCGATGCAATTAAACGTTAGATGGTAGCGCACGTCGCGCGAGCCAGTCTCGCTTCAAGCGACATCCACTCAGCTATAACGAGGACACTTTGAATCCGAAGGCTGGTAAAAGGGTGGAGAACCCGGAGAAGGGTGCGCGTCGTTCGAAAGGGAGGAGGACGAGGAGGATGATGCTTGCACACGGTTGCTCTCGCTTTAGTAACTCTATGTGTATCATCGCGCACTCCTATACTCGATCGTCTCGAGGATTTTCTTCATTATAAGTTTCAGAACGGCGTAACGCTGCCGAGAACCAGTGGCTCGCAAGACTTTCGCCCTGGAAAGGTTGGCCATGACTGCGCATCGCTCTCTCGTTCTCGAGTGGTTGCGCTTCAATTTTCGCTTCACGCTCGCGAGGCATGCACGACTTACCGGCATGTCTTTTAACGAATCGCCGGCCTGAGGGATCGGCAGTTGCCACTTTGAAGACGCACCACCGGCGCGCACCACGTCCTCGGATTTACCGCCGCGAAACCCAGCTGCGCCGTGCTGCGCCGTGCCGCCCCCGGGGATCTTGCCGCCAGCGTGGGTCAACTCAGCCTGCTGGGACCTCGGATGTTGCGAGTAGAATCCTGGTGGAGGCACTTGACGTGTTTGTTTGTCTTTGAATCTTTTTAAGCACTGCTGTTTTAACACCGAAGTATTGTCTGGAAAACACTGATACAGAAACTACTGCCTTTTCTGAAATTCTTCTAAAAGGTGATTAAGAGAAATATATCTTGGCACAATGTTTTCTCTTAATGATTCACAATTCGCGATGTTATTGTTGAATAGCGAGTAGATAATGGAAGTAGTTGATTTGTTTGTTCGTTTGCTAGCCTTGTTGAGCACTTGTTTTAACACCGCAAATTGAGTAGAAATGTCTCGATGATACGTACTCCTTCTCGTAATTCACAGATCGTGCTATTACAGTTGAGTGGAAAATTGGTGGAGTGAGATTAGATTGCCTTAAGTAAATTACCGAACAGTATCTCTGTAATTGATGTAATTTAAATATTTGGTAATGGCGGAGTATCACAGTGAAAGAAAGTTACAGGCTGGGTCGGCACTCTGTTCCGAAGAACTGAACTTTCTTCAATTTCACCTTCCGACTCCGTTATTTTAAGTTTCCGGCAAGTTAATAGAAAGCTTCAATTTATTTTTCCAATTTAAAATTCCCTGGAAGTTCTCTCAGACGTGCATTTCAGCTAGTAACCGAACGTTGTGTCTTCAAAGTCGTCGTTATCTTTCCAGCACGAAATAAATCTTCATACGTGACACCACTCTCTTTGATGCTATATTACTGTATCCAAAATTTGAATTTTATATCTTCTTGGAAATGTGCATAACCGCAATACCAAACCTTAGAATCCAATCTTTTCCACTCATCATCTCGCGTACCAATTTAATTAATAAATACAGTGTACAAACCATTTTACCACAAAAGAGCACCTCACGCTATTAGTCCCCGAGCAGTCACCCTCGAAATCTTTAAAAATCATTTTCGCGACATCCTCTACGAAGAAACACCACAATTTATCTTATCGCCGATATATCCCGCAATCTGTCTGACACTTACTGACCACTCTCCCTAACTGTCGTGTTGAACAATGTCGCCGGATTATTACACCGGGCAACCACGTAACTCTGTCTCTTTTCTTTCCCCGTGGCGTGATTCTCGCTCGTTGTCCGATCGTAGAGGATACGTATATAATATATATTATAATAATGTGGGCCACAATGGATTCGCGTCATATCCTGGCTCTGTCCCCAGCACGACCATCAATTAGATCAGCGCACCCCAACCTGGGTCGCCAGATATCACTCACACCCACCCGCTATGATCCATCTTCTCTCTCCTCGTCATCCTCCTCACGCCTTTAGCGTCTCATTTTCTCAGCTTAATCTGGTCCTTCTTCCACTTTCCGTCCTCTTCTCGATCTTCTGTTCGTTCGTCTTTCCTTCGCGTTTCCGTCCAAGTAGCGTGCAATAGAGCTATTACAGCCAGACAAGCGAGAAACTCAATTTAAATTACGACTTCTGCCCGTTGTTACGACCGTTATTATAACGTTAGCGTTTCACGGCGATTCCTTTGCACACGTGCGTGCAACAACGCCAAAGAGTTGGCTAACTTAGCCAGGAAAGAAAAGAAAGAATTTGGCTCTGCATTCTATGATTTCGACGAGATAACATGAGCAGGATACTGAAGTTATGTCCATTGCTGAATTCTGTTCGTAATGATGGGATAGAAATCCATAACAGTTATAGAATTTTAGCGTAGAATCACTTGCAGTAGAATTTTATTTATTATGTCTCATTAGGGCAACACAGTTCATACGATATAGTTTCACTGAACCGTTTCCTTAGGTCTGATTAGTTTGAACTGGAGTTGTGCTGTAATCAAATTGTAGACACTTAGATTCTACAATTTATCATCAATAATATTTTAGAGTTAATGAACCTGACAACTTTTCATACTTTATTCTCAAACGAATCTATTCATAAAACATTGTCTCTTAAAATGGAAATTAATTCAGCAATTTCCTACAATGTCAGAGAATTCAAGATTATACTCGTTGTAGATGGTGCAGTTTCTTTGGACGTAAACGTGTCAGAACGGCCTTAATGGTCTATGGAAATTCGTTTCGCGTGACGTCGTGGATTGTCGTAATAGCGTATGCAAATTTATGATGATACATTCGCGATAATACTATGAATTAGCCAGGCGACGGGAACGTTCGGCGTATTCCGTGAAATTTAGCGCGTAATCTCTAGGTTAATTTAATGATCGCTCGTGTAACGGGGAGGGCACGCGGAATGCCTGCGTAGAATTTGTTTTAGAGACTTATGGAAGGCTGTAATAGCGTTGAATGGCTATTCTAGGTAACATTGCCGTCGAACATGTTAGTATTTTACGTTGCTTTCTTGCTGTTCATTTCAGCAGATAACAGAGGTATCGAGTCAGCGAACTGTGAATTCTTCAATTTCGAAGAATGAACAGATACGTTTCATTCGCGAGAGCAGAATCACAGAATTTTTTTCTACGTCGTATTCTATCTTTTCAATTGTACAAACGCTTATGCATTATTAACGAGAAACGAAAAAATACTTAATAAAATCCAAAGAAATCGAATTACATTGAATTTTATCGTGTTACAACGAATGTATGTCATATCAGACATACTTTTCGTATGAAACTGTAAATTTACATTTCGCGTTCTAGCTAAATTGAAATATATCTGAATAATACGAAATTAAAAAAATGTAGGCTCAACTAATCGTGCAATTTCAAGCAAATGTAGCCACAAACGCTAAAATAAAATTAAACGATACAAACGCTTTACGCGCGCCACTATAATTTCGCCCATCAGTCGTAAGTGTATCGCTTGAAGCAATTAGGATATCATAGCTTCAAATCGTAAACTAAGAAAATAATACGATGAGAGCAAACGAAAATAAATATGATAAATTGATCGTGAACCGATGCACAAAATAACAGCGTACATGTAATTAACAGATTTCCCCCATTACCGTCTCATCGCTGTATATTCAAATCCGCGATATAATTTTCCATAATGACTCATTCACGTCCGCAACCCGTCAAAGCTCTGAACATGTTAGTCGCACCAACACACTAAACAGCCAATAAATTCAAGCATCCGATTTTTAAACCGCCTCTAGCCAGAATCCTCTAATTATTATCCATCGTGCACGCCAACAATTAATTATGTCGTGATTATTATTCTCATGGCTCGTTGGAAATCAAAAATATCCAGCTCCGATTTAGCAGCGGTGCATAGTCGGCTGGCGGCCGTCGATAGAGACATAATAATACATTTCCACTGGCCGCGCGAAGCAGTACGAGAGCTCGTCTTAGCGCGCGCGCGCCTGTTCTCCGTATAAAATCGTAATTAGCGCGCGTTTAATGGCAACCCAACGGAAGTAACTGATTACCTCTCGCGTCTACCGGATTGAATACGCGTCTCGTTCTTTCTTCTCCTCCGTCATCTTCCTCTTTTTTCCCCCGTAGCTACACCCTCTCACTCCGAGCAAGCTGCTTTCCCTTTTCGAACGTCCAGGGACAATGATGTCCGACCTCCGGCCGAGCGAACAAGCGCAGACGGGTGGTCAAAGGGAAACAGGAAGAACAAGAATAGAGGAGAGCAAGGAGTGGTAGAAGAAAATCAAAAAGATGAGCAGAAAAAGGCACGATGCCAATAAGCGTACACGCGGGTACAACGGAGAAGACGAGCGCGGAGAGGGTGAGAAGAGGAGGGTGGAGAGTGAAGAGGAGGAGGTGAAGAGAAGAAAAGAAGAGGCGGAGGACGGGCGAAGAGGAGAAACAAGAAGATAGTTACGCGGAAGGGAAAGAGAGAAGACGAAGAGGAAGAACAAGAAAAAGACGCGAGGAGATTGACCCTCTGCCCCGCTCGGCGTGTACGCAGCGAACACGCACGCGACCGGTTTGTTTCACCCCGATGCGATGCTAAACGAAGTTTTACCCGCCGGCTGCTCCGGCAAATCGTTTCGCTGCGTTCGCCATCTCGTCCAGTACACTTTGCGTCTGCGAGATTGACAACGTTCGTTGCAACGTTGATTGCAACCTGGACCGGTATACACGAGGACAGAGCACCAAGACAACGACGAGGAGAATGCATTGTTGCACGAGAGATGTGGCGAGTAGAGACGCGTTTGACGAAGATCCAACGATCATCGTAGGAACAGTGACGATGGGACAATGATGGAATCGTGAAACTTGTGCCTAGATGTTCCATTACTTTAGTCGAAGTTATATGGTTGGCTGGTTTCGTTGACTACGGGATAAATATCGCGGAATTTGAATTTATTTTGATTAAAATTATATTGTTGGTTGACAATTCTTCTTATGATTGGATTAATTATTTGAAGAATTTTAGACGATCTCCGATTATAAATTTAGACTAATGTAACGAGTCAGAATCATTGAATTATTAAAGTTAAATCGATTAAATGTATTAAAGCTCGAAGTAACTTTTAATAAATATTTAAATACTACAGTTAAAACATATAGATATGCTTCAACTCACTAAATATTCACGAATTTAAGACATTAAGGAACTTGATAATGCAGAAATGAAATTAATTCGAGATTGCCGGAGGTTAGAACTTCCACCGCTATCTTAAGGCTATCAAGTTTTTCATGCAGACTGAAAACCGTCGACCAGAGAACGAAGAACAGTATAAATCCACAGGCTGTTATCTTCCGGACAATACGGAACACTGTACTGAATAATGCTGGCTGTTAGAATAATGAGGGCTGGCACATAGAATTCCCGACACGTAAGCATCGGTTCGTGCAATTTACTTTATTCAGCTTGACGGACGCGCGTGGCGATTAACGCAGCCTTCGTGAAAAGAGCACCGTCGCGCAAGGTGTTTCGAAATTGTAGACCGCGCAAAATATAAATGGCCCTTGGTACATAAATGCTATCTACTTACTCGGTTGCATATTGTTTGACGTTTAACGATCGCTTGATCGATCGTTGAACATCACGATGTTTCGCACCTTTGCTGTTCCATTATTGGACTTCTTATTCGTTCGTCGAACCATAATCGCCGAATCAACCGTAACCTTCGATGTCAGTAATTTGCATCTTCCGTCCTGCCTTGCCATTTTGCACAATTTAGAAATGGAGAAACGCTTTGCTGATATTATAGCATGCCATTGTCCGGATAAAAAGTTTTTTTCGTAGTAAAAATGAATATTCCTCCATGATCTTGAATTACCTTCGAACGTACAGACAAGACACTAATATTCGAAGGAAACAAAATTTGCATCAGTAAAAGTAAGAGATACAGTACCAATAAACTAACTGAAATCTCTGATCGAATGCACACTTCCTTCCAGCTGGACGCTCATTTAGAATGCGGATGACGTGCCGTTCTAAAAGCTCGTGGCAGACAATGGACACGAGGCGCGTGAGAACGAAAAAAGACGGAGCAGAGATAAGGATGAGTCGCGGTTGTGTGTCACCCCAAGGTGGAGCGCCTAAGTGGTGTCTAAAAATGTTCCTCATTCAGCGGGACAATGAACGCACAATAGCGCGGCGAGTTCCGCCTGGTATTACAATCTGGGATTTCAGGCTACCGAGCATTTAGCTTTGCAAGCTCATCGTGAATCGGAAAAACTACTGTCTGACGTACACGTGGGAATGAAGCACCTTTTTCAACGCTACCGCTCGAACGGCGTCCTTGTCGGACCCTTTCTTCTTTAACCTCTTTAGAAACGAGTTTAATAAGACCAGAAAAGATAATTATTTGTTTTTTTTTTCACGAATATTTTATTCAAATATATCATCGTAAAGACGATATTCATCGTAACTTTCAGAATTATGGACGAATTAAAGAAATATACATGTGCCAGTATATGGGATCGTTTCGAGACACGTCTACCTCTGGCAAAGTGGTACAAGTGTATCGACCCTTTTGTTAATTTCGTGCCTAACAAGCACGTGACTTGTGTGCACACTGCTAGTAATATTACAAAAATTACTCGGTGAAAAAAAGGCAGGAACGATGTAGGTATCATTAAATGCAATAATCGTTA